CTTAAAAACTAATATTGTATATAGAGAACCAAAGGTTAGAAAACTTAAAAACTAATATTGTACATAGAGATCCAAAGGTTAGAAAACTTAACAACTAACATTGTACATAGAGATCCAAAGGTTAGAAAACTTAACAACTAATATTGTACATAGAGATCCAAAGGTTAGAAAACTTAACAACTAACATTGTATATAGAGATTCAAAGGTTAGAAAGCCTAACAACTAACATTTTATATATAGATCCAAAGGTTAGAAAACTTAACAACTAACATTGTACATAGAGATCCAAAGGTTAGAAAACTTAACAACTAACATTGTACATGGCCAAAGGGTAGGAAGCTCAACAACTAACTGTACGAGAACATTTGTAGGAACTTAATAACTACTAATGATTAGGAACTTAACAACTACTAATAATATTCAAAACAAAAACTCCAGGAAAGTAACTGCACAAAACCATTGACAAATCCCCAATATCAAATATACCAGATCAACATTCAAAGTTAAGAACATCGATAACTACTAAACATCTACCAAAAACCAGAAAATCTAACGTTTCGAGTAACCATTAAAGTTTTAATTAACTATATGTAAGCATTTACAAGAGATTAATATCTATCGGTCGTAAGAAGTGCTAAAACATCAACAACAAGCGTTTTAGGTAAACATATTTTGATGGGAAGTATAAAGAGGTAGGACACTTTCTTGAAGCCGTGATACGAACATAAAACATTTTATACCTGGTCACTTATCCTATTGTAACTCCCCGATTATCTGCAGTTGTCGCTGTAAAACACTAAAACATAATGCTGTGTCTAAGTGTAGGTCTCTTCCAAACAAACCTGGGTGTTCATCGGAGTGATTTTTAAGTAGAATGTTTACTGTACAGCCCAGAGAACGAACGCTGTATCATTAATTACTGTACCCACGTTGAGTAAAGACATTCAATTCTCAAAGCACACAAGAATGTAGAAAACTTACGGAGACTTAAGGCTTACAAATCTAAATGTCAAGAATTAGTCACTATATACACAAGGGTGATCTTGAACACCTTTTACAGGCTGCTGTAGAACATTACATTGTCCCAATCAAGAGCTTGTGGTAGCCTTACAGCTGCAGAAGCTGTGCAGACGATAATCTCGTTAGAAGATTACAAAAGTTGATATATCTAAATATCATACGCACAGTTAATGTTAATTTCTTGAAAGGTTTCCCATTAGCATTGCTAAATGTTATTTGTTACAACAAATACTTACAATGAGTTACTAGTTCTTCACGAAGCCAGTGCTACAGCTTTAATCATTTACTTCAAATTACTTCTACAAAAATTGGTGGGTTTACAACAAGAGTGCTTTTGTAAAAAAATTTAACTACTATTTCCGCTTATTATACTTTCCAGTTGAAGTATTTTCTTGTAAGTTAAAAACAAATTAACAACAAACTGAAGCTATATTTAGATATCACATTTTTTGGACTTAAATTGTGATATCCAAGTGTAACCCTGGTCATGCCTCTGGCAATAAAGATTGTGAGTTATATTTAAATATCACTTTTTTTTTTTGACTTAAAGAACAGGGTTACACTTGGATATCACACATGCCTTTTACAAATTTACATCACACTTATCTTTTATAACCAAAACTAGTATTGAAAATAAATTATATATTTATAGTTTATAATCAAAGAAGGTAGTGGAACTGGATACCTCGCTTATCTTTGGGCATTCTAGCTGAACAACACAATTGGACTCGGAATATTCAGGCTGAATGTTATGATTAGGAGTGAGTTGGATCCGGTTCAACTGCAGCGCCCCCATTTCTTCCTCGTTACTCTGGAGGTTAATAGACTCCAGTCGTTTGCTTAGGATCTTCTGCCATAAAAGTTTTAATTCATAGGTCGGGGCTCGAAGAACTAAAGTTTTCCAGGTTATTTGCTTCGGGATCTCACAAACATTAAACGTATCTCTGTTGTAATTTGGACCCTAAATAAAATATAAAAATAAGATCGTACACTATAGTTACGTAGCCATTAGTTCAAATCATTAAATAACTTTTTGGTGAAAGTAAAACTATAGTTACGTAGCCATTAGTTCAAATCATTAAATAACTTTTTGGTGAAAGTAAAACTATAGTTACGTAGCCATTAGCTCAAATCATTAAAGAACTTTTTGGTAAAAGTAAAACTATAGCTACGTAGCCATTAGCTCAAATCATTAAAGAACTTTTTGGTGAAAGTAAAACTATAGTTACGTAGCCATTAGCTCAAATCATTAAAGAACTTTTTGGTAAAAGTAAAACTATAGTTACGTAGCCATTATCTCAAATCATTAAAGAACTTTTTGGTAAAAGTAAAAGCTTAAATACACATTTCCTCAATCAGTAATGTGCATAATTAATCGAATATTTTATAGAATGAGGATCCATGTTAAATTTCGGTTACTTTCGTAGCACTAGGGAGCATCAGTAGCTTTAAGCTGAACACACGAATAATGTTATTTATACAAGTGTCTTTATAATAAAAAGTTGTTGTTGAACCTTCGAAATACTGACTTCTTTATACAGAGTTCACTGTCGGTTGGGTCCACATATTGCTTCATTTTGAGAAACTTTACGCTTTTGTCTTCTACAACACTCAGTTTAAAAAAATGAAACAACTGACAGAAATCACTAATTTTCTTTGTAAAATACTAAGGACACATCAGCAGTAATTAACGGGATTAATTATAATATTGATAGTTTACATATTTGGTGTAACTCATATACTACTAGAAACAATGGAATCAGTAAAGTCGAGGACCCACGAGCACTTTCGTGCATAAATAGTTTAGAAAAATGCCGAACAAGACCATATGAACACCATCGGAAATTCCAGGTTTAATACTGAAAAAATCGACATGTAGACAAGAGAAATACTTTCACTGGATTTTACAGCTATTCATCCTTATTATGATAATTAATTATTGATTTATAACATATGGGTGAGATTAACATAAATAAAACATTACACGGAGAAAACATTGTTAACAGTCCAAAGGTCAAGAGTTTAAACTACTGCATTGACCTTACTTTTTTTAATTAGTCTCCCTTAACCCCTGATCAATCTGTTGTTAAAGTGGGTGACAGTTTTTATTCTTGCACGCAGGGTCCAAACGTTAAAATAATATCCGACACTTGTTTATTCTTATTAACAAAGTCACTTGCGTTTGTTGTCATTTACAAAAGGCTAAGGTAAACAATTTAAAAGGTAAGCCCCCTACTAAAACATAATTTCTCTGTCTGTTAGGTTTTGACGGTTTTCTATTCCAATGAGCAAAAGATGGGCTCATATGAGCTCATCTGTAGTTTTTGGCGGGAGGAAACTTAGGGTGTGAAGTGAATCTTTTCTGATATAGAACAATTATTTGTATACGAGTTGTTGTGTGTTAAGGTGATAAAACAATAGAAATATATATATAAAATCTCTAGTTCATTCTAATATCTTAAACTGCATTTATTCCTTCTGTATTTCGTGTTGTTTTTTCTGACTATTGACCGCAGTATCCTGTCAAAGTAAAATACAAAAAGTTAATTTTCTGGTTGACATTTTGAGATATATATATATATACTAAGTGGTCACAAATAAATAGACACCTAATTTTTCGTCATTTAACTGATTT